AAGATCTGAATTAATCCCTTAAAATCTTTCAGGCAGTAAGATTTAAAAATTTACATTGCCTTTACAGTTAATAAAATAAACAGATAAAGCAGGCAATGAATCTGCAGACTGTATATAGCTCTGCAGCCTAACGATAAATACATGCACTGCAATGCATGGGAACAGGTATCTGATCACTGGCATCAGATTACCAATTCCATCCCTGGTAAACTCCACTTGCATCTCTTGAGGATCCAGACAGGAGGGGGAAAAAAATACCCAAAAGCCTTCAGTTATCACTGTGGAATTTACAGTGAGAAACAACCTCAGCAAACAGGGACAAGTCCAGGTGACTCCAACACCACCTCAGAGGAGGCAGGGGACTGAACCCCAAAGCTGCTTCGTGCCCAAGGACAGCAGCCTGGGAGTTCCCTGCTGCAGTGCCCTGTTTGTCCAAACACAGGCACAGGGGACCCCAAACACAGAATGTGCCATTACTGTCATGCTGCAAAACTCTGTCACACTATCTCCTGATCTGAGCACAGCATTCACCATTACAAAACCAGCAAAGGAACAAAGAAGTCCCCAACAGAAAACCCCAAAGCAACAGTAAAATCAAAACCTGCCATGCTCTAAGGTTTTGGTGTAAACCCTGAAGTGTAAGTTACTTTTGGTGCACGGCCTCTTCTCCCATCCTGTGAGACACTCTGGAGCTTTTCAATCAGTGGAAGGGCAAAGGAAAGGGTTTTCCCAGTTCCTGTTCGAGCTTGAGCAATTACATCTTTGCCATCATATATGGGCTGGAAAGTCTTCACTTGCACAGGGAACAGGTATTTTACACCTCGAGCTGTAAGAGAATTGAAAGAGGTTTCACTAAAAAGCAAAATAAGAATTAGAAGTCCTCATATATAAATTGTCCAGATATGAAGGGCACACCACCTCAAATCCTGCACACAACAGAAATTACAACTTAAACCATGCAGCTTTGTGGTTTATTCCTACTCTAGATCAAAAGATGTTCCACCCACACAGTGAGTGTTGAGTATCCACGATGAAATACAGTCTTCTTTGTTATGTACAGTTTAAGACAACAGGAGAAGGAAAAAAACCCAACGTGTTTTTTCTGATACAGCTCAAGATTTTGTGGTAGCTGGGTTTTTAAGGCAAGAAGGCGATGACATTTGTTTCAAAACACTGTAAAACTTCAAAGAGATTTTGCACAGTGGAAGTGAAACAAGCCATCCAAATGAAACTTCAGAGCAAGGAAAACAGAAAGCAATAAGGAGAATTTTTTGCAAAGGATAAGAATTGCACATCTACCCAACAGAGGGGACAAGAACCCTACAGCAATGGCTTCCTCAACAAAACTAGTCACAAAGAGAGATGAAAATGCCCCAAACTATCTATGAGAATAAACAATCTGTTTCAAGAATTGAAAATCTGTTCTCACAAGGCAAATATTCTTCATATACAAAACTCCATTAGGCTTGTCTAAGAAGCAATATTGTAGACAGCAGACATAGGAACAGAAATAAAGATACATAGAATGATGCTGATGAGAAATGTGTCTCTAGAATGCATATCTAGGAATAACCACTCCATGAGGAATAATTTCATATTAAGGCATCTGAAATTGAACAAACCAGAAAACTTTTTTTCTACTAACAACAGCAGATTCTCTGAATCCACAGTGATTTCTTATGCCATCCTTACCATACAAATGTAACACAATTTAGGAATATTTACACTTAGCTTATGTAGGTAACAGAACACAATTCTGACCAAACATTTACAGAAATGTTTTCTACCACGTGAACTAACCTGTGAGAAGCTTGACAGTGTTTTGTGAGAGAGGAAAATTAGAGAAGGCACCTTCTTTTTCTTCTTCTGTCAGCTCCTAATAGGATTAAAAAAAAAAAAAAAAAAAAAAAAAAAAAAAAAAAACTTAGGGCCCCCCCAAGGGGACCAGGGAAAAAAAAAAAAAAAAAAAAGAAAAAAGACTTAGTGTCCCTCCAAGAGGAGCACGGAACATACCCTACACAGCCACTCAATAAAAGCTGTGCAGTTGCTTTACAAGCACAATTTAACCAGATACCTCCTTTCTATTCAATGAAAAAGAAAACCATTTTGATGTAGGCACTTGTACATATATGCTTGGCAAGTCAGGAAATGGAAACTATTAATTAAAAATCTTAATTAAAGTCCACTGAAACTTTCTTTTCACAGGAAAACACATCTAGTGTCACAATTCACTGTGCAAAGCAGGATTTTCCCCCTATGTGTTACACCACGCAAAGAGCTCTGAACTTTACACATGAATAAATAGTCAAAACACAAAATTTGGCTTTTACTTCAGAGATCCAATAGGTCACATCGTTACACCTCAGGTACAAAAAGCACTCTCTTGATTCATGTTCTCACCTTAGACACAAAACTACCCACAGAAAGGCCCCTGCACGTTTGCGTGAGAAGCATGAACTCATGAGCACAACTGTGTCTTTCCATTACAGAACACTTGGGCAACTCTTCTTCAAAGCTGCTCCCATCAGAGAGAGAAAGCACAGCACAAAGCACAGCACGTTTCTGGACCGTGGCTGCCTGTGCAGCGGGGAGAAACCTTTGTGCTGCGGGACACCAACAAGCCGCGACACGAAGAGCAGCACACACGGAAACTGCCCCCAGGCAGCCGCCTTCCTTCCCCTCGGGATTTACCGGGAGGGGAAGCACGTGGAGAGCAGCTCCCACGTGCTGGTGCGTGCACTACCGAGCCTCACCCATCCGGGCGGGATGAGAGCCGGGATGCCCGGCATTCCCGTGCCCAGGAACAAGCGCATGTCCGCGGCACAATGCCCACAGATTCCTCGTGCTCCCACGCTGCCCCACAGCTCAGGTCTCCACACAGCGCGCTGTACGCGTTATTAAGCGCACTAATTACCAGCGGAACGTTAATTAACCAGGACAAAGGCTTTGCTGGCGAAGCATCCCTACCTCGGCGTGGCTGTCCTGCTCTGCGGCCGCCACGCTCTGGGCAGCCGGGGATGTCACGCTGCCCACCACAGCAGGGGCAGATTTCACCGCCGGCTGGGACGCGTCGCTCTCTCCTACCACACCATTGCTCTTCTCCTTGGCTTTTTTCGTCTTCTTGGGCACGGGGGGCTCGAAGTCGCCGTCCCCCAGCTCGCTCTCCTCGGGCTGCGCCTGCTCGGCCTCGGCCTTACTGCGGCGCTTCGCCTTCACCTGCTGCTTCACCTTCTTCCCCGGCGTCTCCTCCTGCTGCGGGAAAGCCGCGGTCACCGGGAGGGAACCCCTTCCTCCCCGTGCCCGCCCCCAGCCGGCTTCAAGCCCCCCAAGCCCGCACAAAATGGCCGCACCCGCGGCCGCACGTGGCGCTCCCACCTTGACCTTCCTCCGGCGGCCGCGCCGCACCGACTCCGCGGCGGCCGGCGCCTGCGGCTCGGCGGGGCTGTGCTCAGGCTCGGCGGCGGGCATGGCTGCTGGGGGTTCCCCCGGAAGGTGCGCGGCGGCGGCAGCGCTGCTGCCAGTGCCAGTGCCAGCGGCGGGGCCGGTCTCGGCACGGCGGCCCCAGGACG